TACCAATGAATAAAAAAATAATTTGAAGGTATATAAAAATTAATTATAATTAATTATAATTAATCTTAATTATAATTAAGATTATATACCAAAAGATCAAATACACCTATAGTATCAAACACAAACATAAGTTTTTCTTGGGGGGTTCATCCACTTTTTTTTTTTACTAAGATAACAGAATAACCCAACTTAAGATTTAGCACAATAAAATTTTAAAATATTAGTTAATCACTAAAATCAAAGTAAGTATTCTAGAGCAATTAGTGTAAGAATATCTATTTTCGCTTTTACTAAAATTGACTATACCACAACATGCATGGTGATGATATCTTTTGGTAGCTTACCAAATGATACTTTGCACTAGCTTACTATCTTGTTGTTATCCAAAATTTTCTCAGCATTTATTAATTTGACATCATTGGTTAACTTAGGTGCAATTATTTTGTTTAAGATATATGAGAATATTTAGATTCAATGTTAGCAGAAATAAACATGCAACAATAAATTGATATGAGTACCAAATTATTTAAAATTATCTAAAGTTTTCAGTATAAATTTATTTTTTATTTTAGTTTTTGTGCTTTGTGAAATTTTTTTCAACAAAAAATCTTTTTTTAATCAAATTTATATATAGGAATATGAAAAAAAAGACTAAAAATAATCCAAATTAAAAAAAAAGCTTTTAATGACAAAAAGTGAAGAATAATGATATATTTTGGTTATTTTGGTTAATTAACCCAATTATCCAAATAATTTTGAATAACCAAAATTATAATTGAATTAAAAATTTGGTTCAAATTGGTTATAGAAGTTTTATTCAAAATTATTTTGGATAATAAAAAATTCAGCTCTATTTGGATAATCCAAACTGAATACCCAGCTTTACTTGTTTGATTTTATACGATTATTATAATGTATAAATTAATTGATTTTTTTATGATTTCTCTTATTGTATTATCTATAAAAAATAAATTTGATTAATGCAATTAAAAAATAAATCCACTAATCAATATATAATAGTCTATTTCAAGCATTATTTTTCTTTATTTTCTTTTTTTATATATAATTAGGGTATTTCAAAATCAATTTTTGTATACCTTCAAATTAATTCTTTGGTAAACAATCCTAAAGGTGTAACTTCTATAGTAGTAAAAATAAATTATATATGTATTATTTTCATATATAAGTTTGGAGGCATATTTAGGTTGGTGACCTTGTTGGTGATATAAAACTTGTGAGAACTACAATTGAAATTTATAAAAAAAAAAGAAAAAATAAATTAATGAATGAGCGGAGGTTTGAAGGCAAACAGTTAGTAACAGTGTTATGAGAATTGAAAGTAGGGGAGTAGTATGTTTTGGAAAAGTAGAGAGAGGTCTTTGAATGATTTCAAAGTATAGGGAGGACAATAAATGAAAAAAGAAAGTAAAGGGACTATAGTTGGCTTTAACCATAAATTAATAAATGGGTGGAGGTTGGATGGCAAATAGCAATGGTGTTGGTGTTAGTAACGACGTAGTAATGATGTTAGTAACGGCGTTAGGTGAGGCAGGTAATTAATATGAAAATTGAAAGTAGATGGAAGAAAATAGTATGTTTTAGGAGAGTAAAAGGAGGTCTTTGAACAATTTTAAAGTATAGGGAGAAAAATGAATGACAAGGAAAGTAGAGGGACTATAGTTGGCTTTAACCCTTTATCTTTCAAGGGAACTTGGACCATTATAGTAGCGGTTCATGTGGGACTTATGTCAACTTGTATGTCACACCATTTTTCAAAAGAAAGTAATGGATACATTTACGACCCTTTTTTCGGCAAACTGCCTTTTGTGACTTTAGAAAATGGTTTGGTGCTGGCAGACCCTCACGTGGTGCAGTGGTGGCCACGAGGTGGATTATATTCATTTTTGAGGTTTGAATTTTTCATGGTACAATAAATACTAATATTTATCTAATTATTTTTTATTTATATACCCTAAGACATAGATT